GTTTTACAGAAGAGAAAAGACAGATTTGTTGTAAAACTACTCTGATAGAGATGTTTTGACAGATAATTGGCATACAACAAGTGATAAATGAATAATTTACACAAGAACAAAACACAGGATTAAAACAGCAGAAATGTATTTGTTCATTTAACTGCCTCTGTAACTTCAGCTTCCAGACACACTGTTTCTGAGCGGAATATCAGAAGCAAGTCCAATTTGAATGAAGACCGGACTGTTGAATCAGCCAGTATATGTTATAATATTACACTTATGTGTTTGTGTTTGAAAATGTTCATCGGCCGATTTTGGTCCTCAAACATGCAGCATCTATGATTGTGATGCATTGTTCAGCAGTGTGCAGCCACAGTCCAGGATGCTTATTCAAGAATCCTGGTGAAGGCGTGGCCAGCCCTACTCTGCCTCTGATGGCTAACACTCGTAGCCTTCATTGATTGGGTTCCTTAGGTTTAGGCATGAGGAGTGACACTGGAGAAGGTTAGGGTAAGAACATCAGGGTAAGCCAATCAGAGGCAGAGTAGGGCGGGTCATAATGTGATTCATAATATTGCATTGAGGATCAGAGTCAGCCCACATCTGCTGTCAGATCATGATCGTGGTCTTACTGTTTGTGATGCTTACTGACCTGATCTGGGGTCTGCCGGCCGGTCTTCTGCAGGGCGATGATGGCGGTGCGGAGGGGGTAACCCCGGGCGGTGATGGCCCCCAGCAGCTCTCTCTCCTCTGGGCTCAGAGCTGACAGGAGCTCTACTGACGAGTCCGACCCAGAGGACTTCTAGGAAACAAGAGACCAGTGAGTGAGTGTTATAACAGAGGAGAGCCAGGCAGTGAGGACCGATAGCAGCACCCACTCATATTAGATCTGATTACAATGTCTCAGATTCTTCCTGTAATAACAGCAGCTTTGACCCTTTCTTTTTTTAATTCATAACGTTCCTTTTATTTTACAGACTGGACATAAACACAGACATTACATCCATGAAACATACACAAATGAACACAAATACAAAGAATGCAAAATACAAGCAGACAAAGGAATATGAGGAAGGCCCTTACTATATCCCATAATCCCTCTAGGCCCTGATCCAGATTCCTAAAGGGAGCAGCAGCTCTTCCCATGACTATTAAATCTATAAACTCTTCCAACCAGCTGCTCCAGATAGAAAAGCTTGGAGCTCTTATCTTCCAGTTCAGAACAGGTTTCTGTTCAGCAGCAAGATGGTCCAGTGTTACAAATCTCATTTCCATACAGATCAAGCCTATAATGTGTCTCTAGTATGCATGTGGACTACAAGGCATTTAGAAACATCCACCTGGAGGACCTCTGTGAGGACATCTGCTACCTCTGACCAGAGGGAGTTCCCTGCAGGGCATTTGCACAGACAGAGCAACAGGCTGTTCTTTTACCTCAGCCATGCCAACATTTGTCTGAGACTGTGAAATGAATTTATTACATTTTACTGGGATGAAAAAACATTTCAGAGAACTTCCACCTGCTGCAGAAGCTCTTATAACCTGGCTGGATTCAGGGAGCAGACTTTACGCCATCTATTTTGTTCCTGAATGTATTTTAGAAATGTGATGTGGTGAAGCCTGACCTGAGTGGCTTCTGAATTAGTAGGAGGCAGACACGAAAGACTTTGTTCCGATATCAAAAGGTGTTTTATTTATAAAAGTGCCCTGCGACACGTGTAACCAAACATATATACAAACAAAACAATCATTTAACTTGGCTTAATTGAATAAAATCCAACTCATCTTAAAGTAACATAATCACATGCACACGGCTACACACTGATCTACCTTGGTCAGATTTATAGATGAATGCAATATGGGACAAATGGTGTGTTCTCACCCACTTTGTCACATGTGAACTGAAAGAATGGTTAGGATTGATTTCCCCTTCCAGCTAACACAGTGTTGACGTGCATACGCCGAATAAAAGGACATCTAAAGACTGACTTATGGCCAACTTGAATATAAATACAGTCAAACGAATTCTGCTGTGTTGGCCAGTCAGGGTGTGTGATGCTACAGAGAGCTGTCTGTCCCTGGCTTATGTGTGGAGATTTATAGTAGGGCTCAGGACCAGGTAATGCCCTGAGCTTTACGCTGTATTCATAGTCTGCTCTTGCAGACCAGAGTAAAGGGCTAACTATACTGCGGCTTCCAGAGCATTAGCATTCCCTAAGCCACACTATAAACTCTCACTGTTGAGACTAAATGGATAACCGAACACAAAGTTTTGGTGACAGCAGACTGTATATGAGAAGTGGATGTAGTCACGCGATGTCATATATTGGTTTGTAGACGTTTTGAAGTCTGGAGTTCAGCCATGCTGGTTTTTGGAACCAGAAGTCACACGAAAGGGGGGTGCGAGTACAACCAAACGACTCAACTAAGTAAGCTCATTGTTGCACTTCTCTTTTCAATGTGACTTTTGTCATCCCATCATGCCAGGACGCATTAACTATCAAGTCTGTCGAATCTTGCTCACATTGGGATCCGATCTGCCAGACCACATGCAGAGGTGGACTGGCTCACATTGAGTTCAGATCTCAGTGAGGCGTACACAAATGATCAAAGGTAGGTCTCCATCATCTTCCCCCACCCAGGAATTCCTCTCCCGAGAAGAGCAAAGGGGAGTGGAGGAAAAACAAGGAGACCAAAATGTTACAATGAATTCCTTAAACTGAAAACACAGTAAAAGGGATGAAGTTCTAAGACAATGCTGTGGTAACGACCTGTCAATCACCGTGTAGCCCCGCCCTAAAGCATCCCCTGCTTTATGGTCTGTTTGACTCTAAATGGACCATAATGTACTAAATGAACATCATGCTGTATTGAAGAAGACTTGAAACTAGAGATTGAGACCATAAACTCATGTTTACAATGTTTACTGAGGTAATAAATCAAGAGAGAAGTAGAGTCATTTTCTCATAGACTTCTATACAACCAGAGGAGTCGCCCCCTGGTGGTGATTAGAGAGAAAGCAGCTTTAAGACATGAAGCTTTGACTTTACGTTGCAGAACCGGCATTTGCCGCCTTGACAGCATGGTCCTTAAACATTTGGTCACATCTTGTATAACAATATGACAGGTGTTTTGGTGTGTTTAGGACATAACATGTTCATTAGTTGTTATTTTATACAGTGTAGTCAGCAATATTAAGACAGTGATATTTCTCATTGTGTACTCCACCACAATGAATTTGATATTATACAATCACAATGATGTTAGTGTACTGGTTTTGAGTGTTAAAGCTGCACTAACGAATATTTCAATACATACGAATGGATACATAACTATGTGTAATGTGAGGGGTGTCTTGTTGTTTAGCTGTCTGACCCATCACTTCAATGTGTTGGTTCACTCTAGCTGCTCTCATGTAACAGAACCACAGTACACTACTTCCTCAGCAGCAGACAGACACAGTTGGAGACTAGCTGGTGAACATAGTGGAGCATTTAGCGGCTAAAGAGACAGATGTTTCCCACGGGGGGGGGGGGGGGGGGGGGTGTGGAGACCAAACACCGAGCTAAAAGAGAGCGAACATATGCTTACACATTCAACATTATCAACTTTAGATAATATGTTGATGTTGTGTTTACACCTAGTTGCCCCCAAATGCCCAATGGACAAAAAACCCACCCACCCACATCAACAAATATGTCTTCTGTCTTCAGTGAAACAGTTACAATCAGTACTATTTCCAGGACAAATGCTCTAGCTCTGATCGGTGAATCTGTCTGCAGAACAGACCTGCAGACAGTGGTGGCTGGTCAATAGAGGGCCATGGGGCATGGCCCCACCTTGAGCCACACAAAAAAAAATAAAAATTATAATGATCATGAATTATACAAATTGTCAATATTTGTGTTTTTGAACTATGGAATGTACCCAGTAATATGTGTAAAATATGATATCTGCACAAAATATATGCTTTTCCTGCTCGTGCTCTCCGCCTGTGTGCACAACACGTCTCAGAACGCGGCTAGGGGGGCAAAATCGTTTTGGCCCAAAAGAGGCGGGTCTATGAAGCAGTTTAGCCAATAGCTGATTAAAGATATAAATGAGTGACATACAATTTAGCCAATCAGCGCCCTCAAATAGATTCAGCTAGGGGGGCCAAAACGATTTTGCCCCCCTAGCTGCGCGTTCTCGTCAGGAGAAGTCTCTACAGGAGAGCGCGAGCACTACTCCTCCAAGTCTCGTTTGAGAGGAGAACTTTGGCGGAGATTCTGCAGGCCAAAGAGCTGATCCCAGATCAGCCTGACCTCACAATCAGACAGCAGACTAGCGGGAAAGGGAAGCAGTACATGCGAAGCTTCTGTACTAGCTGTACACCAGACAGGTTTGGCTAGCTGCATGACGTCATGCTAATAACGTATTTAGCTTTTTAAAACAACGGGGACGGATCCAGCACGGACAGTTAGGGAGTGAGGGATGAGGAGGTAAGGAAACATGAGAACACCAGGACACACATGAACTCTGTCAAGCTACATATTAGGCAAAGTGAACATCTTTTCTTCTACATAGTTGTCCTCAGTCTCATCTGCTTAACTTGGTCATGGAGGCATCAACATGTAATTGAGATGGTAAATTAACAGTGAAAACTCATCATAGCTTAATTTAACATCAGTATTCATAATTACACTTTATGTTTACTTCTCCTGATCTTTACCTCCTATAACAAGGTCCAGAGGGCATCTCAATAAATAAACATGTTATATTATATAAGTGTTATTTACTGCTTTTTTTCGTGTTGGAATAAATGTTAAATATTTAACTGCAAAGTAGTAATGCGTGTTTGATACTTTAATATTTTTGCATTAAATCATACTGGGATGTTTGCTGACATTGATAGGATGGCCCTACCTAGAACATTTTCCACCAGCTGCCACTGCCTGCAGAGCATCATCATATCAAATGTCTGTGAGGGCAAATGTTTTACTACAACAGGGATTGTACTTCTGTAGCTTTCAGTGGTGGAAAGTAACTATATTTACTCAAGATCTGTAATTAAAGAGCAACTTGCAGATTGAATTTAACCTTTACCTTTCCTGAAAATGACCATTTGCAATGTTGATGGTTGGTACCATTTAGAAGTACTTGTCATTTGAAGGTAGGCTATACTTTTAATCTGAGAGGTAAATCTTGCACTCTATACCTCATTACATTAATTGGATTATTAATACAACATATAATCAACAAATCAATTATGATGTATCATTATAGACTTAGATACAATGATGAGTACCAGCCGTAACATTAAAATGGTACACATTAATTCATCAATAAGTATAATCCAATGATATCATATATTTTTCAGAATTTCTGCATGAAGACTACTTTTACTTTTGGTAAGTTAAGTATATTTTAGTAACAAAAGTAACAAAGTACAAAGTACTAACATCAGTGGAGGGCTGTGCATTTTATACCTGGGCCTTCTATGCTGTCCTACTACAGTTGAATAACCTAATTATGAGCCACAGCTACGGTTATTATTTGTTTCTATTGGTGTAATAATACACGTATTCGTATTAAACCGTTTGGTACGAGGCTTACGAACCGAACAATACCTTTGAATACTAGTGCATTTGGAAAATGCAGAAGCTTAAATTGTGGGAAATATAATGTTTTCGGTGGACTACGCTCACGTAACAGACAACGGGCTGTGTGACCTCTGAACCTGGAACAAAAAAAACAAAAAAACAAAACAGCTGAGTCTACGCTAAACTAGCTTAATGGGAAAACAACCGCGGCAAACCCCACGATGACAGGATGCTTCGTCATTAACGGACAAGTCAGAATCAATGTAATTAACACAATGACAAGAACAAACTCACAAGAACCAGTCACATATATTTATATGACAACAAAGCAACAAATCAATCCAGCAACACTGCAGCGCTAAAACACGTATTCCACCATACACTGAAGAGCACGAGCCATTCAAATATTATTCACATCAGAGGGAACAATATTAACCAGATCATAAAAACGACACGAAAATCTAACAATAGTAACTCTACTACAGATGTAAAAACACAAAAGCACTTCACTTACCAAAGCTGCTGTTCACTTATAGACAAAGTCCATCCTCCTTTCTTTGTTAACAAAGAGTTTAATGACACGGTTGTACAGAACATCGGTGCGGTTCAGTTCCAGCCAGAGGTCCTCCTGTGAACGTGTTCGTTGAGTTGTAGATCCACTCGGGTCAAAAGTTTCATTGTTAGCCATAAAATGTGCAACGCTTCTCCGCCGCTGTCAGCCAGAAATACTGTTCGTACAAATCCTTTTGTCAGCATGTATCCGGCCCTCGGTACAACAGCCCGCCAGAAAATATCAAATGTTTATCATAACTGGCCCGCCACACCACAGAGCTCCAGGATGAAAAGTGGCGATGTGAGCTGGCTTTATGTGCAACATAACGAAGCATCTCACTGCGCTAAACCTGCAGCTTCAGGGACGGGGACGTGTGATCACAGACATGTGTGATGCAGTAAAGGTCTCCACCGCTGTGTTCCCGACTGCGCATTTTGCTGATAAACTGGGTGCACTTGGCACAGAGTTCACTCTGCGATTTGTCGACTTTGCAGCTCAGAAATTTAAATTTGAACTGCTCAGCAATCCGTTTGCAGTTGAGGTGTAAAGAGCACCTGTGGAGCTGATAGACCTCCAGTGTAATGACACTCAAGGCAAAGTGTGACTCTGAGGGCGCTGCACAGTTTACAAGCTTCACCCCCGAAACGATGCCTTAACTCCGCCTACATGCTGCTCAAATGCTCTGCATGTTTGGAAGCACATACCTGTGTGAGCAGCTTTTCTCTGTGATGAAGATGAACACAAACCCACACAGGAGTCTCACTGATGCACACCTTCACTCCATCGTGAGGGTTTCCACAGAACCCAACCCCAGATATTAATGAACTGGCAGCCAAGAAAAGATGCCAAACATCTGGCTCTGGTACGTATGCATAAAATAATGTAGCCTACCTCAACATGTATTCTTTTTGCACTTTGTCCAATATCCCTTCTGTCCTGTTTATTACTGTAAATGGTGACTCTATTTGGCCCTCAACGTAGTCTCAATTTCTTATGTTGTCCCTCCCTGGGATTGAGTTTGACACCCCTGGCATATCTGCAGTATTATGCTAAAAGGTGTCATTTTGTAACTTTTTTGGTTGTTGGTGTGCCGCGGGATCTTTTTAATGTAAAAAATGTGCCGCGGCTCAGAAAAGGTTGAAAAACACTGATCTAGAGGACCTCGGGCCTCTCTCCTTACATAGAGACATAGGGGCTGAATCTGATTGGATAAAAGCTCTACTTAAAACAAGCTGTGCTGGAAGCAGAGCAACAGAGGAAGACAGGAGTTGTGCAATGAGGAAATAAGATAATGGGAAAAATAATTACAATACATGTAGTGAATTTGTGAAAAATTATTAAATTATAGAATAGCTATAACTTTGATTCTGTTTAGGCCGGCAGAGAAGGCTTTGCTGGTCCTGACGGCCCACCACTGACTAACATGTGCTAACATATATTTTGATGTTGATACTTCTGTACTTTTACTAAAGTAACAAAGTCATTTTGCATGTACTAAAGTATGTTTACATTGTTGTATCGGTACTTTTACTGAAGAAAAAATATCTGAGTACTTCCTCCCCCGCTGGTCATCAGTGTTATTGGTTATGATAACATTGCACTCACCAAAGTAAGTGTTGGGAACATGCGAGATTATGGCTGAAAACATCACTAGAAGCTGTTACGATGCAGCAACAAGCACACGCGGTCACATGATCCTACAGCTTGTGACAGCTCCGCCAGATCACGGCAATTTAAAAGTGAGCTCACAGTAATACAGTCATTTTTGTTTTTTACAGTTTGCTTTCATTTTCTTTTGCAGGTAAGTCTGACCTGTTGGCTTGTTTACTACCCGTCTCATGATCTTTGAACCTCTTTTTATTAACCTAGCTGCCTTCTGAGATCTCAGTAGTCATAGTCTTATGATGTCATGGAGCTACAAAAAGAAAAGTCTAGTTGTAATAAACTAGTTTTCATTCAAGTATGGTGACTTTATTTAGGTTTACTTTCATTTCTCCTATAAACATTGATAAGGGGGACTTTGTATAAATTGTCCCAACACTGGATGTGAGCGCCCTCACGTTAAAGCAGAATGTTGGCATTTTGACATCAATGTATTTCAGATATAACGTGCTAAATGGCAGAATCAAATCGATGAAAAAAATGTATTTCTATAATCTACAGTACAAACACATTTAGTGAGATGTTTGGCATTAGAAATATAAAAGCTCGCTCAAAGCGCAGACCTTTTCTTGCCATGAGACTCTTCCTCGGTCCAGCACCATTGGTGTGAAACTGAAACACATCCTGGAACTCTGTTATCCTTCTCAAAAAGTGAGACTGCTATTTAAAAGGATTACTCTGAATAAAACTGGAGCTCCATCGAACACTTTCCCTAATGTTACAATGTTTAACTCTTACCATGTGTGTTGTGTTGACACTGGGGAGCATGTCGACTGTATTGGCTCTGGTGTTGGGGGCTCTGCTGGTGGGGGTCGTGTTTGAGGATGGGCTGTCTGTGTTGGGACCGTGCTGTTCGGATGTGTCCAGCACTGACAGGGAGCACTGTCGCAGGTTCTTCCTGCGCTGGTGAGGCAGGCTGCTGAGGCAGGCCGGAGGGTTCAGGAGGTCTGGGACAAAGGCTCTCTGTGCTTTCCTCTGACCACGCTGACATGAAGCAGCAGCAATTTCTCCACCAGAGCAGGCTTTCCCTGAAAAACATATCTTGGCTTTTTCTGAGGCCTCATCCTCAGAGTCAGAGATGGACAACTTAATGCGTAGGACTGCGGGGTTGAGGCTGCGCGAGCGCTGTCGAGGATTGGGCTCCCAGAAGTCAGAGCAGTGGCGGCTGGCCAGGCGGCTCTGCTGCGGACTGCTGAACATCATCCAGTACGGAGGACAAGATGGCTGCAGTCCTGATGAAGAGGAGGGGAGCTGAGGCCGATGCTGGCTGGTGTAGCCACTCTGCAGCCCGGTTAGCACCCAGTTCTCCAGACTGAACTCATACTGTCACATGGACAAACAACATGTTAGTGACAGAAACGATACAACTCTGTCGCTTTCTCTTTCCTCTAGTCAAATGTCATTATTGCAACATGTAGGAATCTTAATGGATGTCAGTCTGTAGGTCAAGTACTCAAGTGAAACATCTAATCACAGGTTAATGACGAGTTGAAACCACACTCACCTCTGTGTCCTGCAGTCTGGTGAGATAATCAGGAACAATAACTTCCACGTCTTCTTTGACTTCCTGTGAGGCACCCTGTGGCATTTTCAGAGGGACACCGTCCATCCTACTGACACACACACACACACACACACACACACACACACACACACACACACA